GTTGAATTGGATTGTAGAAAATAGCAAGATGGGGTCCTTATGGTGGAGGGATGTATGCCGGTTAGATTTTTGTACCCTAATAAGACTCGGTGGCTCTCAAATGGATTTAGACTAAAATTAGGGAAGGGTAATTCTATTAACTTTTGAAAGGATGTATGGATAGGTGATATGACCATAGTTGACAAATTCCCAAGATTATTTTTGAATTCTTTAGGGAAAACAAAGAACTTATCCCAAATGGGATATTGGAACAATGGAAATTGGGTTTGGTCACTGCAATGGAGGAGACCTATCTTCTTTTAGGAGGAGGAATAGATGTCGGAGTTATGGAGCGTATTAGAGACAACCAAACCAACTAAGGGACAAAAGGGTCGATGGGAGTGGAAGCATGATGGTGGATCATACTCTATTAAATCAGGCTATTATGCCCTCTCTAGCAATCAACAAGAAAATAGGAACTGTTTGTATGGAAGAGTTTGGTGCAAACTAGTCCCAACGAAAATAAGTGCATTTGTGTAGAAAGTTTTACAAGATAGAATCCCCTCAAAGCTGAATTTGTATAGAAAAGGTATTATTTTCGAGGCTAGCCTGGCTATACATGTAACTTCTACAGGGAGAGCATTGAAGATACAAATCATTTATTTCTTCATTGTAAAATTGCATATTCGTGTGGACAAAATGTCTTCAATGGTGGAGGATTACATTGGTAAGTTTTGATAATTGTTTTGCATCTTTTGATCAACATTTATCCTTTTTCAACGATGCTAATATTAGAGTTGGATATGATATGTAGCATGGTTTGCAACAATTTGGTTTCTATGGGATGCTAGGAATGAAAGGTTTTTCAAAAACCATGAGTAAGATGTTAATAGGATTTTTGAACTCGTGTAGTTGCGGACATTCCATTGGATTAAAAGCAGAACAACGGGGTACTCTTTTAACATATGCAATTGGATTTTGGACCTAGTGGAATGCTTGAAAGATAAATGAAGTAAATGAATTGGAATTGGCGCAAACCTAGGATTTTTTTTGAATTAAGAAACCTAAAGTTTAACTCAAGCGTTTACCTTGCCATTTGTTGAAGGAATAGGTAGCGTTTCTTTTGCGATATTTTTTGTTGTCATTAATTTGTTTTTGATCTAATGGGTTGGATTATTCCTTGTACTCTCTTTTTAATGCATATATATATATTCTCTTTGCTGTGCAAAAAAAGGGGGGGGGGGTTGAAGCTGTTGCCCATTTGTTCCTACATTGTAAATATGCATATAGTATCTG